CTGGCTGGTGCTTGATATAGAGCCACACATCGGTCTCTTAGTGGGTTTATGTGGAAAAATAGGTAAAGCTATTTCTGAACAAGACAAACTCCTTAGGCAATGACAAGCGAAGAGGTTGGTTTGATTAACCTTGAGTTATGTTGCCTTAGATTAGGATAACACAACATTTTATGGTGGCAGTGGCCGTGGTGGTGAATTTCTTTGAAATTTGTCCACTTATGGTAACCTTTATGGTGGTGGTCACAGACAACTTCATCCTTCAAGCCTTAAAATCACTATAAAACTAATAGTAGAATTGAGGAAAAACAGGGTCCCTGAGTAATTAGATGCTTAGATAATTGTCTAAAATTTTCATAACTGGCGAGAAAGAGAGGTGTTAGAAGCACTTAAACATTTAGTGTAAGGAAAGCTGCTTGAACTTACACTGGGATTTTAGAGCACCATCTGTTGTTTAAAAATTGTATATCATGGGTCATTTTAAAGAGAAATAGTAAGGAAACTATCTTTTCAAGATAGATACAAAGCTTAGTTGTTAACCTTGTAAAAATTTAAAAGCTTGAGGTATATGAGAGGTTGAAAGCATTAATGCTTAGTTTTAAGTATTGGTGATAATTTTAGATGCCTTTCAAAGTATGTAGATTGTCTTCTAAATATTACACTGAACAAGCCTTGACCATGATGTGAAATTTGTGCTGAAGATTCAGTTTCCAGAGGTGGTGGTAGTGGATATTTTATAATGTGGAAAATAAGACATTTAAGAAGTCTAAAAACCAGATAAGCAAAACAAGAAAAAAAAATCACCTGTAATTCTACCACTCAGAAGACACCACTGTCAAAATTATGGTACATATCTTGTCATCTGGTCATCTTTTTTCTCTTATGTTTATGTAGATTCCCTCTCCCTTTAAAAAAAAATCAGGTTATTTTGTTATCTGATTTTTCACTCAGTAATATTGTAGACCTTTGTCATAAACTTTTTCCTCCAATGTCTTCAATTATCATGTGCTGTTCTGTTACATGACTACAGCATTGAGTCAGTCGTGTCTGCTACTATCGGTGGTTTCTGTTTTCTTCTATTTTAAGTAATGCTTTGAGCATTAATAGCTAGAGCTAAATCCTTGTGCATATAGGTAATATCCTTTGAAATTTTCCTAGAAGTGATAGCTTTCTGTTCTTGTTGATGAATTGGTTTTTGGAGATGTTGTAACACATTATATTGTATAGGAACTTTTTTTTTTTCTTCCAGGTAGCAGCTTTTATTAGATTGGTAAAAACGTTAGCAGGTGTGAAGTGGAAGGGGCGTTCTCACAGTCATGGCACAAAGTATAGTATAAGTATCTATGACCCTTTAGAAAACAGTCTGGTTTCTTTTAACCCTCTCTATTTTGGCAAGATATATGCTGGCTACCCCAGTTGGCCAACATTGTCCTTGTGATGCTGGATCTCCAAGAAAGACGGCTCTGGTCCCAGAGAAGACCCAGATTTGCCTGGTTTAGCTCATCTGACAGCTAACCACTGGGAGTAGGATAGGCTGGTAGAGACCTGTGATCAGGTTTTGGGTCAAGGGAGGCAGGTAGGAAGATGGGAAGGAGATAGGAAAACTAACCTCAGTAGAACCACATTAATATAGAATGATAAAAGGATGTTTCTTCCAAGGAAGAAATTCTGAGAGTGAGGGGGAGAAAGGTTGGGAGATGGGGCAGGCAGCAGTTATCAAGGTTTTTTGGAGTCAAGACTCTTTTACACTATTAAAAATATATTGAGGTCCCAAGGAGCTTTTGTTTATGTAGGTTGTCAATATTTATCATTAGAAATTAAAACAAATATTTAAAATATTCATTAAGATAAACTCATTACATGTTAATATAAATGTTTTTGTGGAAAATGACCTTATGCTCTAAACCAAAAAGTTTTAATGAGAATAGTGGCAGAATTTTACTTTTTTTTTTTTGCGATACGCGGGCCTCTCACTGTTGTGGCCTCTCCTGTTGTGGAGCACAGGCTCCGGACGCACAGGCTCAGCAGCCATGGCTCACGGGCCCAGCTGCTCAGTGGCATGTGGGATCTTCCTGGACTGGGGCACGAACCCGTGTCCCCTGCATTGGCAGGCGGACTGTCAACCACTGCACCACCAGGGAAGCCCCACAATTTTACATTTTTTGAGGTGAATCTCTTTGATGTCTGGTCTATCATTTGCTTCTGCATTCAATCTGTGGTGATATGTTGTCCTGGTTGAAGTAATAGGAAGAAAATCCAGCCTCATACCGATACTTGGTTGGAAAAAGGAATATTGTAACAGCTGTTTTAGATAGTTGTAGATATTCATTTTGGATACTCTACCCAAACTTGTTTTTTTCTTGAACTTTGAATGTATCTTTTACCCATGATATTATGACATCATGCATTGGTCATTTGGAAAATATTGGTTCACTGAAATCTTCTAAATGTTGATACATTTCGTTAGGTGACATGGAAACATTATATTCATTAATATCACCATCAACCTCATCAGAATACTATTAGGAAGCTGTCAGGCTCACAGTGGTAGATACAGGTTTTGCAAAATTCTGATTTTTGCTTGAAAGCTTGAATTTTATCATTGGCAATAAATACTGTCGTGTGTTTTCCTTGAAATGACAGGCTCTCTTCATTCTTTTTGGAGAAAACATCTATCAAAAATCCAAGTTGGAATAACCATTGTTTGTCAGTCATTCTTTCAAGTGAAAATTGTGTCCTGTGAAAGTGGTTAGTTCAGCTCACAATTGACATACAAGTGCTTTTTCTCATGTGTTCTGTAGGAGTGCTCATGTGTGCTTCACATTTCATCACTTGCAATATTAAAAAGACATAAGGATTGAGATTTAGTAAAATAACTGCCTCATCACAGACATTCATAAGTGAAATGCCTTTTTTTTCTTTTAAACACCTTGAATGACTGGTGGTGAATACCATGTCTTCAAGTATAGTTTGGTGTCACTGCCTTTATCTGTGCTAAGGTACCAGCAGTTAGTTTTACCCACCATTATGTCTGCACCATTGGTACAGATGTCAATGTGAAAAAGGCAATTAACATCTTAGTATTCTTGTAGAAATAGTTTGGACCTAGGAGTCCAAGGGCCCCACTTGAGAACTGTTAACATAGTTGCTTAGACCTAGTATATATCCTGTCTTCTTTTGTACAGGATTAGAGAAATACGGCATAGGTAGTAACTGATCTCAGTATTTCTTTTATGTTTTTCTCTTTTTTTGCAATTCTTATAATACGGTTTTGAGGGGTTTTAGTCCAGAGCAACAGTTCATATATTTTCTTTTGCTTATGCAGAAGTTTAATCTACATAATGAAGCAGAGAATTTAGTGCTTTTTTTTTTCTTTTAAGGCTAAAGAAAATACAAATCTAAAACAATAAAAATGGTTTAGATGGTGTGTTCTCAAACTAGGCTGAAGAATTTAAAGAAAATGTAATAAGTAATTCTGTTTAAGAATAGGATTAATTTTGAAGACAGTCTGTTTACCTTTTAGCCTTAAAGAGGTTTGGGACACAGTAAGAGTTTGAGGAATGAGAATACAAAAATAAACCATTACTGAATGGATATAATGATGTCCTACTTCAATACAGTTTTTCTTTCTTTAAAGAATATTTTGTAAAATGCTTTAAAAATAGTCAGTTTCTGTGGCTCCAACTATATTATAATTGAGATTAGAGTTCTCAAAGCAATGCTTCTTTAAACTGTTTCTGCAAAATTGTTGTTTCTCTATGACTAGAATCTAACTGTACCTAATACTAATAATAATGGCTTTTCCCTAATATATAATAGAAAACAGTACAAATGAACAGAGTAAATGTCTGTTATTAGGTGGAAACATGTACAAGGGTGTGACTACCAGGAGGTTAAGATTATTGGAGCCATTTTAGAGGCAGCCTATTACAGTGTTCAAGAACATCATTGACCTGGATGAGCTGGAGCACGCAGACGGTAGCTGTACAAGGAGAATGCCTGTCTCAGAGCCCAACTCCAGTGGCTAGTGAGCACTCTGACTAATGTCATAGTGGCTAATGTAGGCCTAAGACAGCTATGTTGCTGTCTGTTCTGCCTTTCTAACACCTTGCTGTCTTGAAGAAGTAATCTTAACCTCATTTAAGAAATTTGTCCTTTAGAAGCCAGAGTCTTCCTTGCAGTCTAAGAAGGGATGGGAAATTATTAGGAAAAAGGCAAAATTAAATGGGATTGATTTTTAGGGGCCAATAGGGGCCAATTTTCTATTGGAGAGAAATCTCAAAGTAGCTTCTGTAATTACACTACTCAGAAGGCAAGTAGTATAGTGAGTAGAAGATTTAAAAAATCATTTTTAACATTTGTAAGGATTTAAAAACATGTGCCTAGATATGTATCCCTTTGCTTTATTTTAAAAAATTCAGAGTTAGATCTCATCTAGATAAATCTTAGAAATGTAGTTTTATTATATTAAAAGGCAAAAAGTAGTATGGTTTAACTCTGTAGACTACTTCAAGGCTGGGGTTTTTTAGTTTTTGCTTTTAATTTGTTTTTGCTTTTTGAGGGATTTATTGTGATTCCAGATTTTAAAGCCCTTAAATGTTAAAGCTGGTGAATCCAGGCCAAGATAGACCTTTCTTTGTAAAGAAAGGAAGCCTGTCTTCCTTGGTGCTTGCATACTTTTGATGAAACATAACTTTTGCAGTGTATTCTCTTCTGTTTGTTTTAAATCATACTGCTTACTGGTTAAAGTCCTTTTTTTTTTTTAAGACTAATAAATTATGTAACATGGAACAGGAAAGATTAAACTGTAAAACATAATTTTTATTTTAAAAAATCCATTAAAAATTTTGCTTCTCCACACATGGATTTTAATGTGTTACTTTTCTTTCCATGATATGCTTTACTTAAATTTGTGGTCATCTTGCCATTTAGTGGTGAGGTTTAATTGCATATCCAGGTTATCTTGTCTGTAAATGTGTTTAACGTAGGTGTCTCTGTAACAGGAATCTTATCCATCTTCTTCACCAATATGGTTTGTGGACTCTGATGACCCAAATCTGACATCAGTTCTGGAACGTCTAGAAGACACTAAGAACAACAATTCGGTGAGAAAATAAGCCACACTACTTTTTGTTTCTCATGAACATATAGAATTTAAGTCTTAAGAGGTAATATGATATAGAAGCCTGATTAATGATTATTTGATAACCTGGTTTTTAGCTCCTTTAAGATTTCTTTTTTTTTTTGTCCTTCATATTCTACTGTTTAATACCTGGTTTTTCATTTTTATTCCCCATAGGTATAGTCTTAATTTAGATCAGGAATTAGGTGGTCTCTTTTCCATGAATCCTAATCCTTAAACTAAGCAGGCCTTTTTGGTTGGGACCACTAGCCAAGGTAGGAAGTAGAAAAAGGGAAAAAGATCAAGGTAGATGTGAGGGGGAAATAATGACAGAATGACACCGATTGCTGTTTCTGTCAAGACTCTATAACTCTGAGGTAAAAGTCAAAGGTATATAAATAAAAAGTTATTTTCTAATATATAAAACAATCTAACTTTCCATTTTAGAAACCTGGTTTCTTTGATTATAAAACTATAAGTGACCATTGTGAGAGAACTAATAAAATTAAAAACAACAAAAAAAGGAAAATAGAAATCTTACTTTCTCTACCTGATACAACCATTGTTGACATGATGGCTATTTTTTATCGGTATTTTTTTCCCTTGCTAGTAAAATATACATACTCCTATACATATGTTTAAATAGTTGAGGTTATGTTTTATATAATTTAAATGCTTTTTTAAAGTTAACATTATCATTACATTTTGCCACGATGTCACAAAGTCCTTACAGAAAAATACCAATTATTATTTGCAGGTGACATGATTGTTTACCTTAAAAAAAAAAATCCAAAGGAGTCAGCTGAAAAAGCGATTTTTAAGATGACTGGTTAAAAGTTCTATTATATAAAAATCAAGTTTTCCCTAATATCAGCTATAATCAGAAAATATGGTGGACAAGTATTTTATTGACAACTCTAAATACCTAGGAATAAGGTTAGGTGTGCAGGTTTTGTATCAAGAGAACTACAAAAATTTGCTGAGTAAAATGAAAGACTTGACTACTGTGTTCCTAGATGGGCAGACTCCATATTATAAATATGTCAGTTATCTGTATAGCTTCATGTTAGTTTATAAATTGAATGCAATTCCAGTAAAAATCCCAACAGATTTATTTTTGGGACTTGACAAGTGACTCTAAAGTTTTTGAAGAGTAAATAATCAAAAACAATAATGGAGTTGAAAAAAAATGAGAGACATGTCTGACCAGATATTGAATAAAATAAAATATTGAGTACTGGCACCGAACTGGACAAGTAAAGGCAGTTTGAAGTTTAGAAACAGAGTCATGCAATTGAGAATTTAGAATGAGTTAAATTGAACCAAAATACTCAATAAGGAAAGGATAGATTATTCTATTAATAATAAATGGGAGAACTAATGATTTGGGGAATTTAGAGACTTACCTCAGATTTTTGTCACCATAAGTTAGAGGTGGTTTAAGCACATCTATCCTTAAAATTAAGAACAGAAGAACATTGGTTTATAGAGTATTATAAGAGTAATAAGAGAGCCATGAAAGAGGAAAAAATTAAAAGCTAGACAGACATATGTTCACATCTCCAGCAGGGGAGGGGGCAACAGGACAGGTAAAGAGGGATGGACTTAGCTCCCTTACTGCTTAGGAGGTTGCCTCTAAAGATCTAAAGGTGTAAGTTTTGTAATAGTAGAAATGAGTGGGGTTATTTTTTGATGTCTAAAGTATCCATCAAAAAAATGCTCATAAAGTAAATTGACATAGGATATAAAATGGGATCCAATTTTATAAATAAATATTTACATAAAAGAAAAAAGCCAAAACTCATGCTTCACTCTTTCTTATACTCTCTGCCAGTTATTTTATAACCTAGTTTCTTGAATAAGAATAAGCTATATTTCCTCACCTTTAATTCATTTAATTCATTATAATCTGGATTCTGCCATCTTTGTTGTACTAAAATTTTTACTTCTAGTTGCCAAATCCAGGACTTCTTTTTTAGTCCTAAAGTTTCTGCAGCATTTTGATACTGTTGATTCTTTCCTTATTGAAACATTCCTCCATTCAACAAACACGTATTCCTTATTGTCCACCAATAAAGAGCTGGTTAAATAAAAATTACTGTATAGTTTTATGATAGAATATCATGTTGAAGTTAAGAAGAATGCAGCCAGTCTTTCCACAAGAGCACATACAATGTTCCAAGATATACTAAGGTGAAAAAGCAGGGCATAGCATATTGTCTATAATCTGGCTCCTTTAGTATACGAAGTAAATAAATAAATAAATCTATCTATGCTGGATTATACGTACCTTTTTTTCCACCTGGGTGGATACAGGAAACTATTAGTAGTAGAACGCAGAAAAGTATTTTTTAAAATATTGGCTTCTATGCCAGGCTTTGTGGTAAGTGGTGGGTATAAAAGACAAGTCATATCCCTGTCCTCTGGGAACTGATAATCTGATGAGGATTTCCATCAGATCACTGTCTCCTGTTTTTATCTCTTATTATTGCCTTGCCTTGGTCTCCTCTGAGCTCTTATTCCTTGGTCTGCCTCTTTCTTCTCATTCTGCGCTTTCTCTGAGTAATCTCTTCTACCCCCAGTACTTAAATCATGGCCTATATTCCAGTGATTCCTAAATCTGTATCTCTAGATAAAATTTATCTCCTGAGTTTGAAACCCGTAGATCCAGGGAATCTTACTCAGATGTGCTGTGGCTGTTCAAAATGATTACATCTAAATTTAAACTCATCTACCTCTTAGTACTCCACCTCCCGCATCATGTTTCCCCTCTAAAATTCTCTCTGTGATTGTGAATGGGGCAAAATGAAATAATGAAACTTGTTACCCATGTCTGAAGCTGGGAACTACCTTAGAGTTCTTTTTTATACCAGTGTTTCCTGACTCCCACCCCCTCAACCCCAGACGATCTAGTAAATTTCTAAGACCTGTCCGTCTCCCTTCTATAAGTATTTCTTAAATTCTTCCCCATGGTCTTAGTTACTTCCTTCGATCCCTCAAACACTTTTTTGGGTGGAGTGTGAAGTTGAAATTCCTGGAAGCTGTGCTGCCCTGTTTCTTACTGCTTGGTGCATCTCCACCACGCTGCTGTCTTTCCCACAGTGCTACCGTAGCTCTTCCTGTACCAGGGGTTGGAGTGTCGGGTCTGTGTCCAGCTCACCCTGCCTCATCTTTGTTATGTACTGAGCACAAAACAGAGCTTATTGGATGGATAACAAATCCACGGTGGGGCTTTGCTGCTTTTTAAGCTTGAGGATATTTTTTTATACTAATTTACTGCTCAACTTTCCTCATTTTTACTTGCTCCATTGTCCACTTTGGAAAGCCTTGTTCTTTGCTTTGTTTAACCCATTCTAATTCTGTGTCTGTTTTCCTCAGTCCTTCATAAACCTGCTCCTTTCTCTTCATCTCTTTTCTTGGTTAGAGACATCCAGGAAACTGTTCCTGACCAAGTGAAGTAAGTTACCTTACTTGCTGCCAATCATGGCTACTGATAGTGACCGTTCTTCTTAAATCATAATTCTAAACTTATACATTGAAAACAGTTTTTTAAACAATGAAAAACATGTTTGTGCACATAATTTACCTTGCTTACTTAAAGTAAATATGCTTAAAAATCTGGATTTAAAAATGGAAACGAGTTATTCTTTGCAGTTTTCCTAGTAAGGTCTTTTTTTGTTTGTTTGTTTAGACAAACACTTAAGAGCCTACTAAATGTCAAGTGTTTTCACAGAAGAGTTCGTTTAATTTTTACCCTTATGAGAAGGTTTTAATTTCCTTGTTTTATAGATGGGGAGACTCAAAACTCAGGGCGTTAGATACTGTATCCAAGGTCACCTGGATTCCAAGGCTCTGTTTGCTAGACCACATTTGCCTCTACTTTCAAATGAATGACTGAAATATATAATTTTATGAACTGTGTGCAGCAACACTGCCTCTGTTTTTTGTAGCCTCATTAATGTATTAATGTACTCTTGTAAGTTACTAAGAAAAGAAGTTAACAACTGAAAATTAGACAATGTCTGGAGCTCCACTTCCTCTGCCATTTTGTTGATGTCATTCTGCTAGGTATCAGTTGTAGGGATTGCACTAAGCCATAGTAACTTTCTTACACTAGCAGCCCCTAAAATATTTTTTAAAGACTGTTATTTTATCTGTAGCCTGTAATTGAGCAGTAATAAACTTTTCTCATTTCCTACTGGATTAGTTACGGTAGTTATAGTGTTATTCATGTCTCTGAGGGCTCTTTAACATAATGCTTATTTACTGAAATGTGTTTTGTAGCTTCGTCAGCAGTTGAAGTGGTTGATATGTGAACTCTGCAGATTATATAACCTTCCTAAGCACCTGGATGTTGAGATGCTAGATCAACCACTACCCACGGGTCAGGTAAAGTAAAAATTCTCTAGTGTTCAAGAGCTAAAATAAATCGTCTCAAGCACAAGTAAAACTAGGATGATTTCTCATTATTATACAACTTATTTAGAACTTAGTTTTTGTTTTCCTGTTGAATTGTTTTGTTTGTTTTAGGTACTAAAAATAACCTTTTCATTCTTGGGAGCTGCTCTTATTTACTATGACAGGCAAACAGTTGCCTCCTCCCTACCACCACCTTTTTGTTAATGTTCCTGGTTTCGATAACTGTTCCTTGCTTCTGCAGTTGTTTGCTTTTGTTTATTCACTTACCTTCACCTGGAATGCCATCTCTCTATACCCATTTGTGCTTCTTAAGTCCTAACTCAAATGTTATCTCCTCCAGGCAGCAGAAGTACCCACTAGCTCACCACCACTTCTAACCTCTCTGGATTTCTGGATTTACCTATTTAGGCATAATTTATTGATTTGTACTATAATAAAGATTTAGCTTTTATACCACCCACTTACCCACCCACCTCCCCTTCCTAAAACATTATATTTAGCAATATGAATAATCACCACTTATCACTAGGACTTTGTAGTGTAGAGTTTTATATTTCATCTGTA